CACCCGCACTTGGCGCTTCAACATCTTTTTCGACGTTGTCACCAACATTGACCGCGTTAAAATTGGTGACTTCAACCCAGCGACCAACCAGATGAACTTTTTGGAGCTGCCAGCGGTACGTCCATTCACCCTTCTTCACTCTCTGACACGACCGTATGGTCCCAGTGTGTCTTCTCTCACCCTCCATCTGCCTGCTCTCGCGTACCATAGGCCGACGTTTTTCAACAGGGCATTGAGGTTCTGGCTCAAACATGCACCGACTACTGCGCTAGCAAATCCTGTGGCGAGTGCTCGGTCGACCCGCAGTGTGGCTGGTGCTCTGGTGCCAACGGCGGCTGCAAACCCGTGCACCAAGCAGCGTCGTGCAGCGGCGACTTTTTGGAGCAGGGCTGCTGCGCCTCGTGCGCCGTGCACACAGATTGTGGCGATTGTATCGCCGATGTGGCAACGGGCTGTGCCTGGTCGTTCAATAGCGGCACCTGCATTTCCGGACACTCTTCTTTCGGCATCTGCGAAGCCGCCGAGTGGTATCAGATTGCCAAGGCCGGCGTCTCCTCCTGCCGCGTGGCCCCAGGCGCCGTGCTTTCCGAGGAGGCCAGCGCTCCTGTGCCGACCGTCTACAACTCACCCGTCGTAGACTGGTGCTCGGGTCATGGCACCGCCGACTGGGGCGACTCGTTTAGCTGCACCTGCGACGAGGGTTGGTTTGGCGACGACTGTAGCCGCGAATGCCCCGGTGGTGCTGCCAACCCGTGCAGCGGCCACGGAACCTGCGACACTCGTACCGGTACCTGCATGTGCCAGTGTGGCTTTGGTGGTAGCCTGGGTCAGTGCGAGCGCGAGCTGGACTGTGATTGCAAAGCGGATCAGAACAACGGCTATTGCTTCATCAACGAAACCGCCAACTGCCCCGTGCAGTGCGGCAAGGTGGACGACAACAACGTGTGCAGTGGCACTGATGTTGACTTTGTCAGCTCAACCTCAGACCTGCGCCGTGTGCCTGGCTCCCAGTGCTCCTGCGCCTCCGATGTCTGGGGCGTGAAGTGTGACCAGGCCTGCCCGGTCGATGAGCAGGGCCGCGTCTGCGGCGGCCAGGGCTCTTGCAATGTGGAAACAGGCCAATGCACCTGCGGTCCTTGCTTTGAGCAGGCCCCTGATGGCTCCTGCACCCCTAAAAGCTGCCCTCGTTGCCACAACGGCGGCTCTTGCGAGTGCGATGCCGAAGAGGGCATGGTCTGCCGCTGTCTTGGTTTCTTTTCCGGTGACAAGTGCAGGAAATGCGACTGCCTCAACGGCGGCTCTTGCAACGAAATTTCCGGCGCTTGCGACTGTCCTACCGGGTTTATGGGCGACAAGTGCGAGTTTGAGTGCTCGCGCGAGTCTCTGTGTCATGGCCATGGCGAGTGCAATGCCGAGAGCCAGTCATGTGATTGTGACCCCGGCTTTGTCGGCATTGGCGACAACTTGTGCAAGTGGGAGTGCGACGATTCCCAGTGCAACGGCCACGGCTTTTGCTCTCACCTCACTGGTGGTTGTGAATGCGCCAAGGGCTACGTGGCCCCCGCCTGCGAGCACGCCTGCGATGCCGGTGTCTGTCAAAATGGCGCGACCTGTCTTCGCGGGGATCAGTATGCCGCTGGCTACAAGTGTCAGTGCCCTCCGGGCTGGACTGGCACCTTTTGCACCCAGGACGTGAACGAGTGCGCCTCCGCCACGCTCAATCAATGCGAATACGCCGACCTTTGCGTCAACCGCGAGGGTGACTACAAGTGCGAGTGCCCTGCCGGCTTTCGCCTCAAGCAAAACAGCCGGACACATTGCGTCAACATGAACGACTGCCCCAACACTTGGAAGCCCTGCGGTGATCACGGCTACTGCCAGGATCTGATTCAGGACTATGAATGCGTTTGCGACCCCGGCTTTGAGGGCGCGTTGTGCGAGATCAACATTGATGACTGTCAATCCGACAGCTGCAACGGGCACGGCCAGTGTGTGGATGGGATCAATGACTTTACCTGTGCTTGTGACGAAGGGTTCATGGGCGCCACCTGCTCAGAGGACGTGGACGAATGCGAGGCCAGTCCTTGCCACCCGGACGCGAGCTGCCACAACTCGTTCGGCAGCTACGCCTGCACGTGCCATCCTGGGTACACGGGCAACGGGTTCGACACTTGCCTCAACATTGATGAGTGCGAGCAGGAGGGCATTTGCCCCGAACACAGCTCTTGTGTCGACACGCCCGGCTCGCACCGCTGTGACTGCCACACGGGGTATGCCAAGTCGACCGACGCCGGCTCAGAGGCTGAGGTGTGCGTCGACATTGACGATTGCTTTACCGCCACTGGGGCCGACGTCTGCGTGCACGCCACCGGGTGCACGGACCACCTCAACGACTTTACCTGCACATGTGAGGCGGGTTGGACCGGCAAAACGTGCAACATCAACATTGATGATTGCAACCCCAATCCCTGCCTACACGACGGAGCCTGCACCGATGGCATTGCCAGCTACACATGCAACTGTGACAACACTGGCTTTGAGGGCAGCAATTGCCAGACGGAGATTGACGAGTGTGCCGCGGCAGATCGACCGGCGTGCCAGCACGGCGGCGTATGCCAGGATCAAATCAATGGCTACAGCTGCAACTGCTCCAGCGGTTGGACCGGCACCCATTGCTCGGAGAACGTCAACGAGTGTGGCGATGGCACCGTCTTCTCCCCCAACCCTTGTCAGAACGGCGGTCGTTGCGTGGACGAGCCTGGCACGTTTCACTGCGAATGCGATGGCACGGGCTTTGCCGGTGACCTTTGCCAAACCAACGTGAACGAGTGCGCGACTGGCACCCACTCCTGTGATGCCAATGCGCGCTGTGAGGACCGCAATCCGGGATATGCGTGCTTTTGCAAGGACGGCTACGCCGGCAGCGGCCACGAGTGTGCGGACGTCAACGAGTGTGCCTCGGCCGAGGCCAACGACTGTCATGCTACCCATGGCCTGTGCAACAATACGGATGGAGGTTACACATGTGCCTGCGCCCCAGGCTTTTCCGGGGATGGTTTCACCTGTACAGATGTGGACGAGTGTGCCGCTGCCCACACCAACGACTGTGACGCAGAGGCGTCGTGCGGTAACACCTTTGGTAGCTACACGTGCACCTGCAATGCCGGCTACCAAGGCAACGGCACCACCTGTGTCAACGTGAATGAGTGCGCTGCGCAGACACACACCTGTCATCGCCATGCGCTGTGCAGCGACACAATTGGTAGCTACACCTGTGCCTGCAAGTCTGGCTACACAGGCAATGGCCGCACCTGCAACGACGTGAACGAATGCCTCTCAGCCACAACCTGCGGCTCAAACGCCGCTTGCACTAACCTGCCTGGCACATACAATTGCAGTTGCAATGCGGGCTACGAGGGCAACGGTTTTGAGGCGTGCAGTGATATCAACGAGTGCCAGCGCTATCCCGGCACATGTGGTGCGCACGCGAGCTGCACGAATACTGCAGGCAGCTACACTTGCCGTTGCGATAGCGGTTTCAGCATGACGGACGCCGGGTGTGAGGATGTGGACGAATGCGCCACAGATGCCCATGCTTGCGAGGCATCGGCTGCTTGCGTCAACGGGGTGGGCTCGTATCACTGCAGCTGCGAAGATGGTTACGAGCTCACAGCCTCGGGCCTGGCGTGCCAGGACGTTGACGAGTGTGCCGAGGGCACGGATACATGTGCAGCCAAGGCCACCTGCGAAAACACGATCGGTGGCTTCGCTTGCACGTGCAATACCGGGTATCGCGGGGACGGGCACACCTGCGCCCAAATCGACGAGTGCGCTGAATCAAGTCCTTGTCAGGCCAACGCCGACTGCTACGACACAGACGGCAGTTACTTCTGCCAGTGCACCGAGGGCTATGAAGCGGATGGTACCGGCCAGTGCGTTGATGTGCCAGAGTGCGCGTGCGGCTTGCATGACTGCGATGCCAATGCGCGCTGTGTTGAGGCGCCAGGTTCATATTCTTGTGCCTGCAAGGCCGGGTACACCAAGAACGAGCACGACGTTTGCGTGGACATTGACGAGTGTGACACCGGAGCGGACAATTGCCACGAGCATGCCACGTGCATCAACACGGCCGGTAGCTTTCAGTGCGCGTGCAACACCAACTACACGGGTGACGGCGTGCATTGTGAGCATCCCCTGGACTGCGACCCCGAGACAAAGCCGTGCGATGAGCATGCCACCTGTGGTGAGACGGCCAGCGGACCCCGCTGTTCATGCCATGCTGGCTACGCGGGTACGGGCTTTGTGTGCACCAACGTGGATGAGTGCAGCACTGGTACTCACAACTGTGCGGCCAATGCCGAGTGCCTCGACACTGTTGGCAGCTTTACCTGCACTTGTGCCGACGGGTACGAGGGGGATGGCCTGTCGTGCACGGACATTAACGAATGCCTGTCTGACGAGACCTGTGCCGAGCATGCCGAGTGCACCAACGTGCCAGGTAGCTTCCGCTGCCAGTGCCAGGACGGCTTTGAGGGCAATGGACAAGAGCAATGCACGGACGTGAACGAATGTGTGCGCTTTCCCGACATTTGTGGCCGTAACGCGGCATGCTCCAACACAGCCGGCAACTACTCGTGCACTTGCAACAGCGGCTACACGCCGACCAGCGAGGGCTGCGTAGACACGGATGAGTGTGCCACGGGCACCCACAGCTGCACTGGTGTCGCCACTTGTGCCAACAAGGTGGGGGGATACAGTTGCGGCTGTCCTGCCGGGTACCAGCTCCAGGGCAAGTACACCTGTGTCGACATTGACGAGTGCAGCGCCACGGGCAGCACTGCTGCGTGCGCCAACGCGGCGCTGTGCAACAACACGGTTGGTGGCTTTGCGTGTTCTTGCCCTGCGGGCTACCGCGGCGATGCCTACCAAAGCGGCTGCGTGCAGATTGACGAGTGTGCAGAAGGGGCGCAGTGTGATGCCCACGAGGATTGCGTGGACACGGATGGTAGCTACTTTTGCCAGTGCAGCGCCGGTTTTGAGCGTGGCGACGGCGAGTTGGCAGGTTGTGTCGACGTGCCCGAATGTGCTCGCGGGCTGGACAATTGCGCCGACCACGCGCTGTGCACGGAAACCATGGGTGGCTACGCATGTGAGTGCGCGGACGGCTTTGAGGGCGATGGGTTCGTGTGTACCGATGTAGACGAGTGTGCCAGCCAGCTCGACGACTGTCATGAGCAAGCCAAATGCACCAACGTGCCGGGAGACTATACATGCAGTTGCAACAATGGGTATCGAGGTGACGGCCGCATCTGCACTGACATTCCCGAGTGTAGCCTGGGCACTCACGCGTGCCACCGGGACGCCGTCTGCATTGAGGCGGCCCCAGGCTATGATTGCCAATGCCAACCGGGCTACGAAGGCAACGGCACGTTCTGCCAAGACATTGCTGAGTGTGAGACGGTGCAGTGCCCGACCGGCGCCGTGTGCGTTGAGCTTCCAGGCTCTTATGATTGCGAGGCTGCGGACGGATATGAGGAAGAGGATGATGGCTCTTTCTCGGATATTGATGAATGCGACCGCGGCACGCATCAGTGCGAGCATTACTGCATCAACACGCCTGGCTCATACCGGTGCTCTTGCCAAGTGAGCTTTACGTTGCGTCGTGACGGCTTCACTTGCATCCCGAACAATGAAACAACCACGACGACGACCACGACAACGACGCTCCGCACGACCACGACCACCACCACGGCCAGCCGCTCCTCTTCATCCACCACCACCACAACAAGCAGCATCAAAAATGCGGGCCCGAGGACCCTTCGTCTGGTCGAGACAGTGACCTTTGGCAGCGCGCAGTGCGTAGCCCAGGCCGAGCACTTTGTTGCCATTGACACGCCTGAGCTGCATGCCATCATTGCGCGGGAGTTTGGTGCCTTGAGTTCAACCAAGAACATCGAGTCCTCTGTCAACTATGCCGCCAACGATGACGGGGACATTGTCCTGACCTACGTCGTGGACTTTTCCGAGTCTGAGAAGGAGGCAGTGGAGCAAAAGGCTGTGCAGGTCAAGACGCTCTTGAATGAGTTTGTGCAATTGCTTGATACCAGCAGCAGTGATTGCGACTTTTTCGAGGATGTGGACGTGAAGACAAACAGCAACATGCAGATCCTGAGCAACGACGACGAGGAGGATTCGTCCACAACCGAGAACAAAAACGACGTGGGCTCACTCATCCCCATTATTGCCGTGTGTGCCGTCTTGCTCGTTGTTGTGGTGGTGGTCGTCACGGCTCGCAACCTGTCGTGGGGTGCTGGTGACGGCTTTACTCTGGGCAAGGCCACGGGCCTTTTGCTGGCCGATGGTGATTTTGACAATCCCATGCATTCGGCCAAGCAGCGCGGCGTTGCCTTTGACAATCCCGTGTACGATGACCTCGATGTGGACGAGACAGACGATGAGGACTTTGAGGAGGATTTTGAGGAATTCTAAGGCGGTGGTGTGTGTACATTTTCTCTTCGCGCCCTGTCTCAAGCGCCGAGGTCTGCCTGTCTCCCGTGTTGTATGGACCGTGTGTTTGAATAAGCAAGCTGACATGATTAAATGCAAGAGCGTGCGCGAAAAGTGCTCGCGTTTCGTACTAAGAAGCGAGTCAGCGTTGTCGCTGCGCGTTCTGTTGCCTCCTTGCCGTGCCGTGTGTTTGTGTTTGTGTGTGTGCGTATTCATTTTACTCTTGTGTAGGCCTGTGGCCAATTGCTTTGTGCCTCCCCTTGTCGAGTGCTCGTGTATTAAATTTTGGTTCTTGGCTCGTTGGATGTTTTGTGCCTCGGCCGTGAGTTGCCGATCCCGACATGCCTTGGGGCTAAATAAATGGCTGTATTAAAACGTTTGGTGTTTGACCGTGCAATTGAAACTCTTCAATCCAAATCACCACCTGATTGTCAAGGGTATCAAGCACGGAAC